AGGAGGCTGAGGGGAGACCTCATCGCTCTCTACAACTACCTGAAAGGAGGTTGTAGTGAGGTGGGGGTCAGTCTCTTCTCCCAAGTAACCAGCGATAGGATGAGAGGAAATGGCCTCAAGTTGCGCCAGGGGAGGTTTAGATTGGACATGAGGAAAAATTTCTTTCCTGAAATAGTGGTTAAACATTGAACCAGACTGCCCAGGGAAGTGGTGGAGTCCCCATCCCTGGAGGTATTTAAAAGACGAGTAGATGAGGCACTTAGGGACATGGTTTAGTGGGCATGGTGGTGTTGGGTTGATGGTTGGACTCAATGATCTTAGAGGTCTTTTCCAACCTCAATGATTCTATGATTCTATGATTCTGTGAACTCATCTGGTTGTCTTACTTTACAATGTTTATGTTGGGTAGGCTGGATCTCTGTCCAAATTTTCCCCACAGAGAATTTAAAATCTTTTGCAATTTTACGTTTCACAGCATTTTCTTATTACTTTCAGGCTGCAAAATGACATCGTATTTCGGCCTGTCATCTTCAACCTATGTTGAAGCTTTTTTGTCATCATCTGTGCACCAAGCTGGGTAGCCTGAAGCTTCGTGCTTCTGGTGGAGGTAGAGATTTAGATAGTCTGAGAAGAAAACACTCATGGTGGGGTGATGGATGCATGGCAGACTGCTCCTCACTTGTCCCTGTGCTCTGATTCCTCTCTGCCTTCTCTCCCAGGTCCACCTCCAGCCCAGAGACATGTCATGCTACAACCAGTGCCTGCCATACCGGCCCTACGGCCCAACCCCGCTGGCCAACAGCTGCAATGAGCCCTGTGTCAGGCAGTGCCAGGACTCTACCGTCGTCATCCAGCCCTCCCCCGTGGTGATGGCCCTGCCTGGCCCCATCCTCAGCTCCTTCCCACAGAACACCATTGTGGCCTCCTCCACCTCCGCTGCTGTTGGCAGCATCCTCAGCTGTGACGGAGTGCCCATCACCTCTGGGTGCTGTGACCTCTGGCATTTCCAAGCGGCTACTGTGGCAGAAGGTGCCCCTCCTGCTTAATCTCCAGGTGACAGCCCAGACAAGGACCCCAGGAACCCAGAATCTGATGCCAGATGAAGGACAGAGATCCTGGCCATTGATTTCAGAGAGACTGAGCATCCAGTGCTGCCCTTCCAAAGGAGGGCAGCTGGAGCTCTGAAAACATGGCCAAAGTCTAACTTCCTTGCCTTCCACTCTCTCCCATCTCTTTCTTGTCCTCTGTTTTCTGGGCTGTAAGACCTCCAGAGCCAACCTGTGGAATCTGCTGAGCCCTCTCCCTCTGTAGGGCAGGCAGATGGATGCCCTGTGTGATCTCCGCCATGGGCAATGGGCACAGACTTTTGGCAGCTGGTGATGCTCTCCCTGCTGTGGAAAACTCCTCTAGAAGTGAACTCATTTCCCTCTTCAGAGTCATTGAAGTTTTCTGCATCCCAGGCAGCTGGTGGCTCTCCCTGCTGTGGAAAACTCCTCTAGAAGTGAACTCATTTCCCTCTTCAGAGTCATTGAAGTTTTCTGCATCCCAGCCTCTGCCTCCACATATTCCTTTTCTTGATGGACATTGTCTGGAGTTGCCAAGGAAGAAAGGCATTGCCTTGGGTGGCAGGGCATAAGGTGGGGGCACAAATGGAAGAGAAATGGGAGGGTGGGACACAGGGCAATGGGGCCCTTCCAGTCACTGTCCCTTGGAACTGAGGAAGACATACTCAGCTCCCCAGCCAGTGGTGATCAGGCCCTGCATTCTGGCATCCTGCTCAGATATGGCCTCTTGGCCTCAGACCATGTCCTGTAGATGGGGAGGTTGACCACTGCTATCCCCCAGTGAGGAGCCCAGTGCTGCTGGAGGCTCTGAGAGGTCAGCAGCTCACAAGCCTGTGAAGAAGGAAATCCCTCCTGCTTTGGGTAGCCCTGTGCTGGGAAAAGCAGCTCCATTAGAAGATGGTCTCAAAGGTTGCAGGAGAGATGATGGTACGAAAAAAAGCCTTCAAAACAGCCCCAGACCTTCTCCTCCTCATCCTCCTACCTGTTCCCAGAATGAGGGAGCATGGCCTGCACCCAAGGGCAACCGTAGCAAGGACAAGTCACCTATACACCTCCCTACCCCCAAACAGTTCCCTGCACAGCCCAGCAGTTCCAGAGATGTGCAGGCAGCTCACAGATTGATGTTGAAATCAGCCTGACCAGGCCACACACCAGGACCCTCATGCCTCTTACACACCCCCAGCTCCCACCAGATGTGCCTGCTGTTCCCCCAGGCATGAGGCAGCTTTCACCAAGGCCAGCTCTTCTTCTGGCAGGGCCTGTTGTCCACCTCTGCCTGGTGGACTCTTCTCGCATTGAGATCTTGGATAGAGCTGTACAGCCTGGTCTCACTGCAGAAGAAATGAGGCAGGGTTGGGGAAAACCTACGATACACACCTCCAGCTCCCACCAGATGTGCCTGCTGTTCCCCCAGGCATGAGGCAGCTTTCACCAAGGCCAGCTCTTCTTCTGGCAGGGCCTGTTGTCCACCTCTGCCTGGTGGACTCTTCTCGCATTGAGATCTTGGATAGAGCTGTACAGCCTGGTCTCACTGCAGAAGAAATGAGGCAGGGTTGGGGAAAACCTACGAGGTAGGGCATGAGAAGGGCTCCAAGGATGGGCAGAGTGTACTGGGGAGAGCAGGTCCTCCAGATCTCAGCACACGGCCACACAGCAACTGGAGGGTCCACAGGGTAGTTCTGAGTATTTTCCACAATTGTTGTAATCATGTAATCCAGGAAGGAGCTTTGTGACATGGCATGTTATTTATGTTTTTCACCTTACTTTGAAATCTGACCTGTGAGGGACACATCCCAGAGCACGTACTCTAAAAGACAGGCTCACAGGAAACCCTGAATAAGCAATGTGCAGCAGGGAAAACCAGAAAGCAAAGAACAGCAGCAAGGAACCATTGCACAAGCAATCCCAACCTCCTGCATTGCCCATCAGCTCACCAGAGCCACGGGCAGAATAACCGGATAACCCACGGTGAAAACAAAGTAACATGAGACTCTTTCACCACCTTCTCCTTCCTCTCAAGCCACTGACACTGTTCTCTCCTGGAAGAGGATCTTGAAGTGCAGATCCCTGGGTGCACAGGGGAAACAGTGCTACCAGGGGAGAGCTCAGGGCCCCTTCCCCCAAACTCAACCTTGCATAGACACATCCCCTCCCTCCCCTGGCTGGTGGCACAGCCAAGGAAGCTCCCTGCACCAGGGTGTCTTGCACTGCACAGAGGTACAAGGCACTGTCAGAGACCTCGATTTCCTCCAGCTGCAGGAGGCTGTATTTCCCTGTGGTGTTCAGCAACGTGGTGAGATGGCTGCTCTGCTTGGAGCCAGCTGCTGCCTGATACGAGACCAGCTGGGGAGCTTGGCCTTTCCTCTGCTTTTACCAGAGCAAGCCATAAAAGTAGGAGGCCTGGTATGTGCAGGTTGTCTGGAAGGTGTCTCTCTCCTCTACTGTGACTTGTCCTTCTTGCTGGGTGACGGTGGTCTGCCCCATGGTGCCTGGAAGAAAGTGAAGGTCAGCAGCTCGGCAGGGAAGGACTCTGGGAAGCAAATCAGGAGTGTCCCTTGCCCTTTTGGAAATTCTTGAGGCCTGTGGACAGCCAGGTGAAGAGTAGTTTTGGGCCGGAGCTCAGAGCTCTCAGCCCAGCGTGGGTCCTGAGGAGAGCTGTGCTGTGTCCCTGCTCGTCCTCCCTGCTCCTGCTCCTACTGCCCGGAGGAGCAGGGAACAGCCTGTCATGCCTGACATTTGTGTGCTGGGACCAGCACCCCTCCAGCAGGTGGAGGGGCCCAGGGAGCTATGGCAAAAAGATTCATCCTGCTTCCCCACACCTCTTATCTCAGAGGGCTCCTAGCTCCTCGAGTACACTCAAAGCTCACTTTAGAAAGAGGTATCGATGGCTGTGTTGCCAACCAGGAGGAACCTGGAAGCTGTGGCTGACACGTGCCTGCCAGAAGGGCACAGCCTGGGCACATTATTAATGTTAGTGGGAGCTAGAGCTTTAAAATCCCTGTAGTACCTTTGAGAAGATTTGCTTATTTTGGGGAGAAATGTGGGGCTGCAGAGACAGCTGAGATCTCCTATGGTGGCAGGAGGGGGATCAGAAGAGAGGAGTAGAGAGCGATAGATTGAAGGGGAGAGAAAAGCAAGAGAAAGGCTCTGAGGTATCTCTTCTCTCTCTTCTGATTTCATTTCCATCAGTAAGACCGTTTTGAGAGAACGGGTGCAAAACCACAAATGTGAGCCAACAGTTCCCAGTGTTTTTCTGCTGTCCAAGAGTATTTCCACACATTGACCTGATAAGGCTGGGGACTTACCCAGCAGTTGCCCCAGGAAAGCCGTGAGGACGAGATAGCCGAGGTGCATGTTGAGACCGACCTGCCTGTTGGCTGAGTGAGAGAGAGTCAGAAAACCACCTCCCAGCCCCGAGATAACAGAGCTGCCAGAAACGACTCTGTTGGGGGAGCGGAGGAAGAAGCGGGGAAGAGAAGTGATCTGTTCTTCCTGTGCCTGAAATGCTCCTTCGGGGTTTCTCCCTCCTCCAGCAGCAACACCTGTGGCTCCCTCAGGGGCCCTGGGGGCCCCAGTCGTGGGAAGGGGCTGTTCCCGGTCAGCTCGCAGTGGAGCCCTCACCTCCCCAGCTAGAATCGCCTGCTCTTCTGCACACCCACTGCTGGGCCATTTGGGAGGTCAGGGATTTCCTCCCCACTGAGGTTTCACATCTTCCTCTGGGGTCCTCAGCTCTCTGAGGACACTGCTGTTTCTTCTGGGAACAGAAGTCTCTTCTGTTTCTCTCACTTCTCCCCGTTCTTTCCTCAACCACCTGGGAACAAGGCCTCTCCCCCAGATCCCCCAAAATAGGAGATGAACCCTGCTGTGCAGCAGCCCAGGGTCTCTGGCTGTGTCCTGTTCTGGTGGGATAACCCACAGTGCGAGAGAAGAAACTGGGTCCAGCGGGACTGCTGCATGCCACAAACCCAGAGATGGCAAGAAAAACTAATTCCATAGGGAAAGAAGTGAGGTGTCAGAAGGGAACAGGATGAGGGATCAGTAGGTCACCCTCACACACAGCCAGGGAGCACACGGGGCACCCATTGGAGTGCTGCACTGCAAGGGGTGGGGTTGGGGCAGCCCTGCACCACACAGCTGAAAGAGCATGTGAAGGAGTGGGGGGTTGGCAGGTGGAGACCCCATCTCCCACCCCCTTTCCAGATCAACTCCAGAGTGATCCCATGCACCAGTCACACCAGAGTTAGGAAACTATTCATTTTGGTTGAGTCTAACACGGCTTTTGCTCTAAAAAAACCTCCACAACGAAGTGAATAATGATACAGGTAATGATAATGGTTATACTAAGAATATTCTCATGGAAGTGCTGCACCTCCTCATGCTGTAAAAAGAGGTTTCTAGGAATGTGGGGTGTCCTGAGGCTTACACAGCCTTTCCCAAGTTGAGGAGCCGGCTGAAGCTTACCCTCCGATGGGCTCCTGAGAGGGATCTGCCTTCCTAGTCTTCAGAGCAGACATAAGACATGTACAGGAAGATGAGGATTCTGCATTTCTACTGAGAGGAGAAATTGAGCCATAGCCTTCAACCTGCAACCATCCTCACTGACGATAGGGTCACATCGCTGAGAGTCTCTCCTTTCATGACGCTAGTGTCTCCCCTCTCACCATCCCTAATACTTTGTCTGGCTTGCCTGCACCTGGCTCCGCCACAGTGTCTGCCCCCACACCTCCCTCAGCACACCTCTATGATGTAGTTCTCAGACACCTGATGAGTGATACTCAAAGCCCTGCAGATCCCCAGCTGTCCCTTTTAAACACTCCAGGCAGTGTCAGATTCTCCCCCTATCCAAACAAACATACTTCATTAACCAGTGTATCTACCCGCCTGCCTGTAGTGGCCCACAGTAACTAGATGATGATTGTTCACGGAGAAGTTAGGGATCTGCATGGCAGCTGACTTGAGTAGGCACAGACCTGTGCTGTGCTGAGCTGTATATATCACTTGGCGCTTTGCAATGATGTCACAAGCATGTCCTTGTCTTTATCTAGGACTGAAACACCATGTTTTCATATAAATGTTATTTTGCTCAACAGTAGAAACGATAAATAGAGTTGTCTATTTCTAAGAAAATCCCATGAAAACTCCAAAGACGACAATGTCGGTGAATCTCAGCACAGGCAGGATTTGTACCATGCGACAAATGGTGAGTTGAGGTCCACTTTATGATCCATAATTAGGATTTTCCAGCATCTGAAACACCACGTTTTCATATAAATGTTATTTTGCTCAACAGTAGAAACGATAAATAGAGTTGTCTATTTCTAAGAAAATCCCATGAAAACTCCAAAGACGACAATGTCGGTGAATCTCAGCACAGGCAGGATTTGTACCATGCGACAAATGGTGAGTTGAGGTCCACTTTATGATCCATAATTAGGATTTTCCAGCATCTGAAGGGGCATAAGGTTACCTGTGCTAACCCCCTTTACCTTCTTGTGTTATCTCCAATTAATGGTATTTTAATTAACACCTTATGCAGCCAGAGTACCATTCTTACTGGGACCCACCTACATCCATGCTCCAACCTCATAGGTAAAAGCAAAAGAAATTGCTAATTTCCAGTATAAATTTCCCCTGTTCCAGACTGTGTCCATTGCCTTTCTTTCTATCACTACTCTCAGGAAGAGTTTCGCTCCCTCTGGCTTCCTCCAGTCATCCTCCAAGTTTAGCTCCAGAGGCTCCCTCCTCTCTTCATCCTCCAGTCAAGTGTTAGAAGATTAAAAAACTCTCCCTTTAGCTTCTCATTCGAAGGCTGAAGAAGGTAATTTCTCTCAGCCTTTCCTCATGTCTCCTGTTACAGAAACACAGAATTGTTAAATTTGGAAGGGACCTCTGGAGGTCATGTGGTCCAACCCCCTGCTCAGAAAGGCTAACCTAGAGCTGGTTGCCCGGTCCATGTCCAGACAGCTTTTGAATACCTTCAAGGGTGGACACTCCACAACCTCTCTGGGCATCCCGTGCCAGTGCTCCCTCACCCTCACAGGCAAACATTGTTTCCTGGTGTTCAGACAGAGCCTCCTTTGTTTCACTTTGTGCCAAATGCCTCTTGGCCTGTCATTGGACACCATGGGGAAGAGCCTGGCTCCACCCTCTTCACAGCCTCCCTCCAGATATTTGCACACATGGATGAGATCTCCCCTGAGACTTCTCTTCTCTGTGCTGAACAGTCCCAGCTCGCTCAGCCTATCACCATGTCAGAGATGCTCCAGTCTCTTCATCATC